TCCAAGGAAAATCTTTGCGCAAGTAACCACTGTTTAGTCCAAACCTCGCACATTTCTTCATTTAAGATTTAAAGTGGGAAAGTAGTAGTGGATGTGAGAGCAGTGGGTGATCTCATTAGTGTGGCAATTTATAAAGACGACTTTGGCCCTAATGTAGAACATGGTAGAGAGAAATATATTTTTCCATTTTTTTTCCTCCAGAAGATCAGTTCTTTTTTTAGAAAAACCATCACTTCCTCAATATCCTAAAGACTTACAGGAACTGAGTGAAGACACTGGAATCTGTGTGATTTCCAATATTTATAGTCTTTCAATTTGCCTATTTAATAATAAAATATCTTGGTAAGAAATGAAAATCCTGGTAACCCTATGAGATTTTCTGTTTCTCTTCAAGACAGTTTTGATGCCTATCATGGGTATACTATAGAAGATGGTCTTTGTTAGAGTATGAACAACTAAGTTATGCTATTTGCATTTCTTTATTTTTTCCTGGAATTATGAGAAGATGAGCTAAAGTCATCAACGATAGCCTTCGTTTACCTATATCTGTAAGACATGAGGCAAACGGCTTGATAGCTCTTGACCTAATTATGCAAGCTGGGAATATCAATTATGGGTTTAGAGTTGGAGATAAAAGCTAGTCAGTCTTATTCAGGACAAAACCTCCACTTTGGAAACTAAACGACATGTATCCATAAGACCAATTTTCAGGTAAGACAAATCAGTCTTCTTGCTGCCTCTGTTGTGTTTCCAGGGCTCCTTGGAGACATATACTTTAAAAGATAATTTTTTAAAAACAAATATTCTCCTGCTTTGTTCTCAGTAAAGATGGGAAATAACAATTTATCCTTATTGTTAATGCCGAACTGTTATGAAAAATTGCCTCCTATTTTAAGGTCAAACAAACCCAAATTTGGTACATAGGTACATTTTTAAATCAACAAGAAATATGTATATAAAATTTTGTTATTGATTTTATTTTGAGAACAATTGAATTTACATACCAAATAATAGGTGCATATTTTTCCTTCTAGGTAATACAAGAGGCTCTGCGAGGATCTCCACCTTATCTTCAGGTTTCATCTTTAGGATTTTCTTGTAGAGAAAGGTTATATGTCATAGAACAAAATCAAACCAATTAAAATCACATCAACTATTCCATATATAATGTTGACAAAAATTATACAATATCTAGTAATATATCCAAAAAGAAAGGTACTTAGAGATGAAGAAAACTTAATATTAAAACTTATTATAGGGCAGTGCCTGTGGCTCAAGGAGTAGGGCACTGGCCCCATATGCTGGAGGTGGCAGGTTCAAACCCATCCCTGGCCAAAAATTGCAAAAAAAACCCAACTTATTATATTTGTTTACCTAACTTTATTCATTTACAAATATTTTGACTATTCAAAAAGAAAACCCTCCTGATGATTAGAGTAAGATATCACTGAGGACAATTAAAAGCATATGCTACATAATCCAAAAAAATTTCTTAAAATACAGTTTTACAAATTTTTTATGATTGATTTCCATTTTTCCTTAGAATTCATATCGCCACCTACTAAATTCAGTAATACTATCCCTATTTTTGTTTTGCTCCATCTCTTCCTCACTATTAGCAAGCTTTTGCCTATTCTTCAGTATATATCTTTGTACATATAAAAATACACATAATTGCATCATAAAGAGAATGATAACATATATTTTTTTATCACACACAAAATTTTTTTTGGTGGAGTATATTTATCTCTGGCCTCCTCTCCTTTTTTCTCTCCTCTCACCCACACTCAGACAATATTGACAATCTGGGATCTATAATCTTATTCTATCTTTATGTTCATATAGTTATAAGATATGCAGATATATGTGTGTTCATAGATATACATAGAATAAGAATTTTAAGACTTTTTTTCTATTTTTAATATTTCTGAAGTATATACATTTTTCCTTTACTGGCTCTTCTCACTTTACTAAAAATTGTGGAAATTTCCCTTAGTCAACTAGTAGAGCTATGAATCATTTTAAAATGGCTGGCAAGATGACATTTTAAAATTGACTAGGGGGATTATAGCAGGATTTGTTCACCGCTTGTTTTATCCTTACTGGTTTTCATATTATTTCTAGTGTTTTGGCACCAGTAATAATGATTTGGTACAACTCTCTCCCTATGAGGTGATATTATTGCTATAGAACAGATTGCTGAGTTAAATGGTAGGTATATTTTTATTTGTAAAAGATGTTGTGAAATTGTGCTTAAAAGTTTAAAAGACTTAATTTACATTTTTACCAGTAAATGTGAGAGTGGCCTTTCCAAATTTCTGCAAGCCTGAAATTTTGCTAATCTGAGAAGTGAAAAGTGCTAGTTTGTTATTTTACACAGTATATATATGCTGGGAAAGTTAAGCATTTCCCCCCTACATTTGTTGAATCTATTAACATATGTTTCTGTGACTTGCTTTTTCAATTTTTAAAAAAGAATTTTCGGCTTGGCGCCTATAGCTCAACCGGCTAAGGCGCCAGCCGCGTACACCTAAGGTGGCGGGTTCGAATCCCCAGCCCAGACCCGCCAAACAACAATGACGGCTGCAACCAAAAAATAGCCGGGCGTTGTGGCGGGTGCCTGTGGTCCCAGCTACTTGGGAGGCGGAGGTAAGAGACTCACTTGAGCCCAGGAGTTGGAGGTTGCTGTGAGCTGTAATGCCATGGCATTCTACCCAGGGGGACAGCTTGAGGCTCTGTCTCAAAAAAAATAAATAAATAAAAATAAATAAATAAAAAAAAAAGAATTTTCTATTGCATTATTAAACTCTTATCAATTTGTAAGTTTTTTGGTATATGATAGTGACTAATATTTTATCTATCATATTTACTGTAATTTTTTCCCCATCTTTATTCATCTTTTACCTAATTATAGATTTGTTACATACTATAACTTCATAAAATAAAAATTAGATAAAATATGCCCATATCTTTATTGGCTTCATATCTTTGCTAAAAGTTTCTGTAATATGTTTAAATTATATTAATTTCACAAATTTTCTTTTCTCTTTTTTCACTTTTAAGTCCTTGCTCCAAGCAAGCATGGGAGAGAATTATTCTTACTTTATTTCCAGATAGATAACCATTTATATATAGTATGTCCATACTATTTATTGAATAAATCATTATTTTTTCTCAATTGATATATCACTCATGCAATACAGTAGAACCTCTACGATTTGAACACCCAAAGACTGTAATAAACTGGTCAACATAGGAAGGTAATCAACATAAGGAGGTAGGCCGACTGTATTGATACATAAATGTGGTGCATGTCTAGCCTTTGAAAATTAGGTCGACATAAGGATGTGGTCAGGGTAGGGAGGTATTCAACTATGTAGGTTCTATACCTATATACTTGAAATGATCACATACATACTTGAAACTATTTCCAGAGTGTTTATTTGATTTCACTATTATACCATTTTCCTATTTCTGTGCCAATATCTTATTCTATGGAATGATTTTATGTTTTAACACTACTGAACATTGGACATTTTTACTGTCTCTTCAAACACTTTTATTTGATATGAAATTTACATTGAAAATATCACATTAGAAAGTGATTAGAATTTTTATAATTGAAATTAATTTTAATTATACTGGCATTTTTATAATACCATTTTTTTAAATCCAAGAACATATTTTGGGTTTTTATTCAGAATTTATATAATGGCCTTTGGTAAGTTTTGTAATTTTTCTCATATAGGTCTTACATATAAAAAAATTTCAAAATATATTTTTGTTATGATTTTTATTATTAAAATAGTTCTCTTTCTTAGTTATTGTTTACATAAAAAGTATAGTGATTTTTGATATTTATATCCTGCATCCAGTGCTTAGTAAAGTCGTAATGTAATTGGTTTAATTCCAACAATATATCAGCAAAATATGAATTTATCTTCTATAATTCCTATGATTTCGCTAAACCCTTTACTATATTATTTACATTTTACTTTTGAGATGTATTTAGAATTTCTAAGAAAATACCACCTAATAATAGTCATAGTAAGCATTTCAATCTGTCCTTAATTTGAAGGGAGAGCTGTATTACTTAGACTGTGCTTTTAGTTTTGATAAATCATCTTTAGCTTACTTAAGTAGCTTTCTACAAGATGTCACCAAATCACCATATGGGGGAAATGGGAAATTGTCGCTAAATATTCTTTCCAAAATTTTACAAGATAGTCTTTTTGTGTTGGCCATCTCTTTGTAAAATTTAGTAATGAATATTTTGTCAATAAAGGTACATTAGCTACCATTTCTCATTTTCCCTATGTATGGTGACCTTTCAAATGAGCTGTATTTCTTTTATTTAAATTGCAAGATTATTAAACATAATCAAATATTCCAAATTAAAAAAATAAGTCTACTTTTATTATAAGGGCAATGAAATCTTTACATATGCACATATATATGTACATGCAGGTTCTTTATATATATACATATATACTTAAAACTATCACATACATACATATATAAAAACATATATATGTACATATAAAGAAACAAATATGTTTCTATACATATATATGTGTACACACACACACATAAATATATAAAGAAACATATATGAGGGTGGCTCAAAGGAATAGGGCACTGGACCCATATACTAGAGGTGGCAGGTTCAAACCTGGCCCCAGCCAAAAACTTGAAAAAAAAAAAAAAAAAGAAACATATATATATATGTACATATACATATATAAACTGATTCTCTCATATATATACTGTACATATATACATATTCTGTACATATATATGTGTATATATATGAGAATCAGTTTCCTAAATGCATATCATTTGTAAAGAATACTAAAGGGTAAAAGGTAAATCTTGGGATTAAAGGGAATACGTAATCAATGAAGATGCTTTTTTCCCAAATTAAATGTTATCATTTTCATGGTTGTTTATGATTTTGTTCTTCACTTATTCTCTCACTGCAGTGATCAGCCTGGGTGGATATGATGGAGGCAAACCAGACACAAGTGACAGCCTTTGTCCTCACAGGACTTACAGATCGCCCAGAGCTGCAGGTGCCCCTGTTTCTGGTGTTCTTGCTGATCTACCTCATCACCATGTTTGGCAACCTGGGCCTGATTGCTCTTATCTGGAAAGATCCCCACCTGCACACCCCCATGTACTTTTTCCTTGGCAGTTTAGCCTTTGTAGACGCTTGTTCTTCATCCTCTGTAACTCCCAAGATGCTAGTGAATTTTTTATCTAAGAATCATATGATTTCCCTGGTTGAGTGCATCACCCAGTTTTATATTTTTGCTTCCAGTGCAAACACAGAATGTTTCCTCCTGGTAGTGATGGCCTATGACCGCTATGTAGCCATATGTAACCCTTTGCTTTATCCAGTAGTGATGTCAAATATATACTGCATTCAATTGTTAAGTGTTTCTTATGCTATTGGGTTTCTTCATCCTATGATGCATGTGGGTTTGTTGTTTAGATTAACTTTTTGCAAGTTTAATATCATACGTTATTTCTACTGTGAAATTTTACAACTGTTTAAGATTTCCTGTACTGACCCTGGAATTAATATGCTCATGATTTTTGTATTCTCAGTGTTTATACAATCTTTCACTTTTATAACTATTATTATCTCTTACTCCTATGTTCTCTTTGCCATTCTGAAAAAGAGGTCTGAAAAAGGCAGAAGCAAAGCCTTCTCCACGTGCAGCGCCCACCTGCTCTCAGTCTCTCTGTTCTATGGCACTCTCTTCTGCATGTACGTGCGTCCTGGGTCTGGACCAGCTGAAGATCGGGACAAAATGTATTCCTTATTTTACACGATAATAATTCCCCTGCTAAATCCTTTTATTTACAGCCTGAGGAACAAAGAGGTTATAGGTGCCTTGAGGAGAATAAAAAATAAATAAATAATTTTTAAGGCAAATTTCAAACTTCGTAAAAATACGAAGACTTAAGTTATTCAAATTAGGCTCAGCATTTTTGTGTGGACACATTTATTACTTGATTGATTTTTAAAAAATCACAGTCTTCAATATATTTCAAAAAATTTTTAATGGTAGCTTTTTAACAAAAGTATAAGTGAAGCAGATTATCATACAGATGAAATAGTAGTTTAAATGTGATTTGTCATTATGTAACTGGTTTCCATATTTGTAATTTTATTTGAAGATTTACACATAAGCCCTATGTATCAATTTAGGGGAAGTAATGCCTATTTCTCAGTTTTTTTGCAATGCTAATTATATCAAGTTTATCTTATATTAAGCACTTAACCAATTGTGTTTTTTTCTTTCATGTTTTCTAGATTTTTTTTAATCCTAAAATATGGGGATACAGATAAGTTTTGTTAAATGTATCAATTTCATTATAGGTTATAAGTGTGCACATCACCCAGATATGTTCACTGTACCCATTAGGTAGGTGCATCCCCTTTGCCCCACACTCCCGGCTTGATTTCCACTGAATTTTACTTAACTCAGTACACATGTGCGCTCACTGGTTGTTTCCAGGTTAATAGCAAGTTTGTGTGGTGTTTGTTTTTCCGAATTTACATACTTTACTTAGGATCACGGTCTCCAATTCCATCCAAATTACTGCAAAAGGCCTTAATTCATTCTGGCCTAGTAGTATTTCATGGTATATATACACTACATTTTGTCAATCCACTCATGAATTGCTGGGAACTTGGATTGATTCCAAATTTTTGCAATTGTGAATTATACTGCAAAAAATATTTGAGTATGGCTGGGTGTGGTGGCTCACGCCTGTAATCCTAGCACTCTAGGCTGAGGTGGGTGGATAGCTTGAGCTCACAATTTCAAGAGCAGCCTGAGCAAAAACAAGACCCTGTCTCTAATAAAATAGAAACAAAATGAGACAAGAGGAGAGCTTGAGCCTACAAGTTGGAGGTTGTTATGAGCTATGATGCCATGGCACTCTATCAAGGATGAAAGTGTGAGAATCTGCCTCAAAAAAAAAAAAAATTGAGTACAGGTATCTTTTTAATAAAATGACTTCTTTCCTTTGGATAGCTATCCAGTAGTGAGATTACTGGATGAAATGATATGTCTGCTTTTAGCTCTTTGAGGAATTTCCATACTGTTTTCCGTAGAGGTTGTACTAATTTGCAATCTCACCAACAGTGTACAAAGGTTCCATTCTCTCTGCATCCAGGACAGCATATATTGGTTTTTGACTATTTAATAAGAACCATTCTAACTGGGATAAGGTGATATCTCATTGTGTTTTTAATTTGCATTTCCCTGATAATCAGTGATGTTGAACATTTTTTCTTGTTTTTTGGCCATAGTCTATCTTCTTTTGAAAAGCATGTGTTTATGTCTTTTGCCCACTTTTAATGGGGTTGTTTGATTGTTTCTTGTTGATTTGCTTGAGTACTTTGTAGAAAAAAAATCGTCCACATCCACACAAAAAATCATTCTACAGCAAATCCTAGAGAGAAGAAGGTGAGCACTGAGAACCAAGCAACTAAGATTAAGAAGTACTCATTTTTTATTGATTAATTTGAGTCCTCTGTAGATCCTAATTATCAAGCTTTTGTCAGATTTGTAACATGCAAACACCTTTTCACATTCCAAAGGTTGTCTGTTTGCCTTAATTGTTGTGCCCTTAGCTTTGCAGAAGTTTTTCAGTTTAATTAAATCCCTTTGTTTCTTTTTGTTGTTGTGGGGATTGCTACTGAAGATCTATCACTGGACAAGAGGCAGGAACAGAACTT